TAGGAGAGCACTTTTAACACAGGATCTGTGCACTGTCCATCTCACGTGAGGACATTTTTGCCTCTATTGTATTAGGTCCTTTAAAAGAGGAAATACTCATAGATTCTTTTGAATACAATCGCTTTCTCTCCTTAATTATTAAAATACAGTCATTTGTTACTTTTGTTTTGTTTTGTTTTGTTTGTTAGCTGAGCCATCCTGCCAGTCATTTGTTACTTTAAAGGGTGTTACACTAAGATGTAAATCTATCAACAGAAAATATCATGGGAAGTCAGAAAGACAGGGTGGGGCTTGTTTGGTGGCATGTATCCACTCTAATGAACTGTAAAAATTTCAAATCACCCAACCTCCACCATAATGGCATAATGGCCCTTTAAAGTAGTACCTACATGAAGAGACATAAAAGTGTAGCAGATGACTATGTGGAAAAGTCCTTTTTTATTAGATTAAGGCAAAATCACTTGTAGTCCCAACTCCTTACTCCCATTCACTTCTTGCTTTGCATTTATGCTGTCACCTATTAGGTCCAGCAGAATCTTTTATTGTTTCGAAACAGATCACTTTTTCTTTACTTGAGCACCACACGTCTTTATGTCTCTAAACCCTAGAATCTCACTCAGGGCAGTAAAAAGCACAGGGGAAGCAAGACTAATTTAGGAAGCAGCAGATTCGCAATCCACCTCATCCCCTCTGGAGCAAAAAGGATTAGGATTAGACTAACATGTGGAACTACCTGCTTGCTCCTGGGCTCATGCTGAAGGTTATACGCTGTGATTCCTTTGGGTTCTACACCATTTAAGGTCCTTTATCCCACTTTACTGGTATATGTAAATGCACACATCTATATGTATTTGTGCATTTGTATTTTCAAATATTGGCACTCAAGATCGGCTTTGTTCTATTAGTAATGTACATATTGATCTGTTAGTAAACAATAAAATATTAAGTATTTACCAGCTTTTGTCTTTTCGCTAAGAATAATAATTCTGTAAGTAACCTTAGAAATCATCCAGTTCAATTATTTAGTTTACAGGAGATAGAATTGTGACCCAGAGAAGCTAAATAATTTGTCTCCAGTCACACTGCTAGGTTTTGACTGAAATAAGTGTAGATTTCCTATCTCCTGGTTCTGGCTTAGTGCTCTTTTTTATTAGACAACACAGCCTTACCAACTCATGAAATGTAGATCTCCCTTCTGTTTAGATGTATATTTATATTTCTTATCATTAAAAACAAAAAATTTAAAACAAATAAAAAAAGAGAGCTAAGTTAATTTCACCGAGAGGCCCAATTTAAGTATAGGACTTTTTGGTAAAACTATCACCACTACACTATCTTTCAAAACCTTTAAAGTTTAGTAATTGATGACTTGATGAACTATAATGAGGGGGCAAATTTTCCTTATTGAGGTTGGTAGCAGAGTTTTGTTTTTTCTGACGAACAAAATATTCCCAATCTATTCTCCACCTGTGTCAAGAATGATCTTTTAAAAATGAGCAAACCTAGTCATGTTACTCCACTGAGAAAACTCCCTTAGCAGCTTCCTTTTGCCCTCAGGATGAAATGTCCGCTCTTAACATGGCCTACAAGGCCCCGGCTCACATCACCCCCCGACCTCTCCTGTCCCTGTACTCAAAGTTAACTTCTTTCAGTTCTTGGATTGCAACCAGCTCTTTTACCTTTGGGCCTTCCAATATGCCTGTGTTAGTCTTCTATGGTTTCTTAGCAAACCACCGGAAATTTAGTCACTTAAAACTACCAATTTTTATTTTACAGTTTCTGTAGATAAGAAGTCTGTCATGGTGTAGTTGGATCCTTTTCTTAGAATGTCACCAGACTAAAATCAAAGTATTGGCCTGGGCTGTGGCTGTCATCTGGGGCTCCGTGTCATGTTGCAAGCTTGCTGGTTACTGGCAGAATCAAGATCTGCGTTTCCTTGACACACGTCGAAGTCTACAGCGGCATGTCAAACACTTCCCTCTCTGATGTAATCTTTTTTCTTGAGTTCAACAATGTTAGCAGTGGCTTCATTAGGTGAATGCTTGAAAGTATTCAACATTAAATTCGACTTTCTTCACACTGACATTTGCAAATACATCCTTAGCAATTCTTAAATATTTTAAATAACCACCTTGAAGTACAGAAGGCTTGCTCTCAAATAGCTCTTCTGAGGTGACATGAAGACTGAAAGAACCTTTGACTTGAGTTCAGGTTCCTAGCCAACAATCAATGTATTATCACTGGTGAACTCATAGGAGGGAACTTCAAGGTTAAGAGGTGCAGGCCTCTCCCTGATCCGGCCAGATGCATCATAGTGTGACCCATGACAAGGGCTGCAATAACCATCCAAATCTCCTATTTGCAGTGGGCACACAACCAAGAGTGCGAACACCTATCAGGATAACCCGTTCCGGTTTCTTCATTCATTCTAAGTCGTGCTGTGGGTCCCTCATCTGGGACACTTCAACGGCAGCCTCCTGGTCAGTTTCCTTCTTGGTTCTGTGGCGCACACACAGAAGTTTGCCTCTCCATCTGAAAGCCTCTTCTTTCCTTCTGGAATATTGGATAACTTGATTTCGATTTTTGACGTGGCCAACACATCGGCAGCAGTACTCATGCTGGAAACATACAGGGAGATGACATTCTTAGTTGCATATGCAGCAGCCCAAGTTGTTGGTGCAGTTGTCAAACAGGAGAAACCCCTTCTAGCCTCGGTGCTCTCTTGTGAAGACTTTGTTCTATCTAACACTTCAGTGCGACGATAATCAGAGAAGTCAGGCCCTTTGATGTCTGTACGAGACTAATGGACAGAAGCCCGGACATTGAGGTCCACAACAGCGACTCAAGGCTGGCCTGCAGCCTGGCCGCTCAGTGACTCCCAGCAGAGGAAGGGCCACTTCACGTCCAGCCTCTGTGGCTCTGAGGTGGTGGGTACCGCAGCCTATCCCAGGGGCCGCGGCACACCCACCACCCCGCGGGACTTGGGCATGAATGGCCCCAGTCAGGCGGTGACCAACAACATGGTGACAGCAGCTCCAAACACCCTGATTTACTCTTCTCCGTGGCTTCCTTTTCTGTCCTCAGCCAGGAGAAAGCTCGTCTTTTAAGGCCTCATTTTAGTGACTACTTCAGTCCCACCTGGATAATCCAAAATGATCTCCCTATGTTAAGGTCAACTAATAAGTAACCTTAATTATGCCGGCAAAGTCCCTTTTGCCGTAGAGGGACACATTCATGGGCATGACACCAGGGTGCGGAGGTCTTGGAGACCAAAATTCTGCCTACCACGAACGATGCAGTGCCCTCTGAGTGGAATACTCTTTCTTGTCCCTGCATCCTGCTTCTTCGTCTCCTAACTCTTACTTTGTCCACTGGGTCTCTGATTTCTTTTTTTTTTCTTAATTTTAATTAAATGTATTGGGGTGACATTGGTTTGTAAAATTATCTAGGTTTCAAGTGTACATTTCTGTAACACATCATCTATATATTGCATTGTGTGTTCGCCACCCAGAGTAGGTTCTCTTTGCCCCCTTTCCCCCCTATTCTCAAGTTTGGGGTAAGAACCTCTCTTCAGTGCTCAAGTGGTACTTTATACTTCCCCGTTGTACCACTTGTCATCCTGTGTGCTCATCCATATCCTTTCAGGGGACTGTCTGTCAACGCTTTGAAGAGAGAAGCCATGTTTATCTTGGCACATTGGGTTTTCCTGCTTAACCTTGTGTCGGCTATATAGTTGATGCCTAATAAAAAAAAGTTGAATCAATAAATTATTTGTATCCATGAAAAACAGAAGTATCACAAATGTCTTTAATGCATATTTCTAACACTGTTACCCAGAGGAAAAGAGAGGACAATTTTAACTCAGGATATACAAATTATTAAAACAAACAAATAAAAAAAAATGCCTGCTTTTGTGAGGTAGTATGCTCATGACTAGAAGCTTTTAGGTGGAGATTCAATGATGGGGTATCAGGGATATCGTTGGGAGACTGGTGCACATGAGCTGTTTTGTGACTCTGTTGGGGTTTCTGCAAGGCCAGTGGGGAGAAGGTCACTATGGAATTATCCAGCCTGGTGGATGTGGGCTAATCGACTCCCTACTGCTGTGGCCTGTGCTGGTTACTGAGTCATAACTGAGTGGCAAGATCAGCGGAGTAGAGTTATTTTATAAGTTGTTAACCGTGCAGAAGTGACATTAGAAGTAAAAAGACCATTAACATGAATCAGTAAAGAAGGAGTATAGTATAGTGTTTAAGAAGAGGCTTTTGGTTCATACTTCGAATTCTGCCCCTTGCTAGCCGTGTGACTTTGGACAAGGTATTCAATCTCTCTGTGTTTCAGTGTCCTAATCTGTAAAATGGAGATGATAATAGTAGAACCTAACTTGTAGAGTGATTGTGAGAATTAAATAGGCAAGATAGTAAAGGATGTAGTGCCTAGGATATATAAGCATTGTGTGAGTGTTAGCTATCATCATCATCATCATTACCATCAACAACGTTATCCTACAGACACTTTAAAGATAGTTCAAGACCTGTAACCACATGCACAGTGTCTGGCATATACTAAGAATACAGTGATATTTTGGAGTTAATAAACGATATGTTTATTTGTGATTTTTATTTATATCTACTGCTTCAGATTACTATAGGAAATGGTCCCAATAACAATGTAATATACTTTGTAAGTCTATTAAGGAAAACTAAATGCTGTGGTTATCTTGAGTTGCTCAGAGCTTGCTAAGGTGGTCTGAAAAATATCTCCTCCTAGGTCTTACCGTATCTTTTTTTTTCTCTTATTAAAGCAAATGGATGTCTTAAAAAAACCTTTTGAAATTTATTTTTCCAGAATAAAGAAAACCATAATCAGGTGAAATTAGTATTTTACATATAGATGTATATATCATTTTCTGGATGATAAAGTGAAATATTCTTGCCACAAAAAACGTTCTCATTTGAATTCGGATGAGACGTTAACATTTTGTTTTCCTTCTTAAACAGGTTCATCCTAAATTCCACTATAAACAGGCTCACGACCCGGGCACAGACACTTCTTGTGTGACTTTCTCCTATGACGGAAATGTCCTTGCCTCTCGTGGAGGTAGGTTAAAAACTAATTTTTTAAATGTGTTTCTATATATAAAATGATCATATTTAACTTTAACAAATGTCACAGTGATATTCCAGTGCTTAGTAAAGCTAGCTGTGCTTCTATTAATGTACTTTAGCCAGTCTGATTTTTTACATTAAAATGTATTTCCAACTTGGCAACATTGTTTTATTAAAAAGTATCAAAAAAAATTTAGAAAATATATACTTTGGGGACTAAGCTTTTATTTTAGCTTCAAATTACATCAGAGTTTGAAGCCTACAAGGATGGCATTGCCTCTACCTTATGCAATTTTGTAGATGATCTATATTCTTATTATACCATTTTATATTCTGGGTCTGGTATTTCAAAGTTTTCGATTTGTTGACCATTGATTTTTTTTCTTTCCAGTTCAAATACTAACTCAATTCAGTTAAAAAAGATTATATACTTGGAAGTTACTTTTTTTTGTTTTAAGATTTTATTGGGGAATTGGGGGAGGGAACAGCGTTAGGGAATCAGGGAAGGGGAACAGACAAGTTGCTGTCCTTTTGTTCTTCAGTCTAGTTGTGGAGGACGTTGCTTCACTGGCCCATGTCGGTATTGTGATCATTGCGCTCTTCCCGGCTGAGGCAGATTGGTCAACTACCATTGGATGGCCGCTCACGGCAGCTGATGGCAACTCATGCCAGCTGCCGGCCACTCATGCTGGCTGCCGGCCACTCACAGTAACTTACAGCAGCCCACTGCAGCAGGGGCTGCAGACTATGCCAGCACTGGTGATTCAAGGCATCCCAGCTCCAGATTGAGCTGTTGGTCATCATCTTAGCTGTAGAGGGTGCAGCATCACTGGCCCATGTGGGATCCAAACCAGTGGCCCTGCTGCTCAGAGCTTGCACTCCCAAGCCAACTCTTAACCAATGAGCCACTTGGCCAGCCCGGATGTTATTTTTTAATAGCTGTACAGCTCTGTGTGGTCGATTATAAGTTTACTTATCCACACTCAATGATTGAATATAGGTTGTTTCTAAATTTTTGTGAAATCTTTCACTCTTGGATAAGCTGTGTGTTGATAGAAGGAAATAAGAGAAGAGTGAGGGCATCTTATGAGCAAAGCATTATGGGTAAGTGTGGGACTTGACTGAGGATCTTCCAGTAGGCCTATTTGTGGGAGGGGAGAAAAGGAACAGTAGGGTAAGTGGGTTGAAGCCACATTACAGATGGCCTTAAATACCACATAAGGATTTAGTTTTTATTCTGTAGGCCAAATTAATTTAGCAACACCACACTTAGTCATTCATTCACTTACTCTACAGCTGCATATTGAGCAACTACTCTGAGCTGGCGTTATGTTAGGTGATGGGTATAAACTGTGAATATCATAGACAGGGTTCCTTTCCTGAAGGAATTTACAGCCTGGTGTAGAGGGTAGTGGAAGTGAGGAGGAGATGAGGAGATTGGGCACAGCGTTCCCCTCAGTTTAACCAGTTCATGCCCTTATACCCTCGGGAATTCCTTCAGATTCTCTTTCCTTCAAAGAAGCCTTATCTATTATATCCAAATTACCCTCATTTACATAAGTAAAATAAATCAAAACACATGTACATGCATTTCCTGTTTGTGATATACATGGCGAAGGTGGATATGTATAAAATAATGTATTTTGGTCCATCCATTGTAACCTGCTACTTGAGTCTAAGATGACTTTTAATTAAGACTGCATATACTCTTTATTTACAAACAGTGGTTCTTAACCTAAAAGTGTTTCTGAGTCCCCTGGCAAAGTTTTTCAAAAGATGAATGCTCTACTAGAAATTCTCACGTTCTCTCTTGCAACCTTAGAATGGTATGCCCAAATCTCCAAGGTGGAATGGGGAGAGGAGAGGGGAATAAGGGGGAGCATAGTTTGAAAATTCTTCCCAGAGGATTCTAAAGTAATCCAGCCTTGACCTAGTTGATAGTCACTCCCTTAGAAGTACAGGATGAATTCCATTTCAGTCACAGTCATTGTGGTGATGACCCTTACCTTCCCCTTGCATCTTGTAGTAGCTACTGGGTAACACGTTGTCACTGCAGCATACATACTGCACTCCATCACTTTCCTTCCTGGGAATATAGAGTACAGCAGATGGAAGTCTGTTCAACAGAGCCCCTAGAGAGTTGTAATGTGCTCCTGCTAGCTCCAGAACCTACCAGGTTAGCTAAACTGTTTAATGGAGGTTAATGTTTTCCTTTTGTTTGAGAATTTTGAGCATATATAACCATTTTTTTTAAGACTAGAGCAAAAATGTGAGTCTTACAAAGTTCTTCCAATATAAGCAGGTCCCTAGTCCAGCCAGTGGTGGATTAGTGCATCTGTACAAAATTGGGTTTCAGAGAAGGTTCACTGGGGAGAAAATGGGAGTTTTTACTGAACTCTCTACTCACTTCACTTGCGCCTGATACTGATTCCTTATTGGACACAAGGGCTTGAGGCAGGTCTCAGCTGTGGACACTAGGGAGAAAGAACAACAAAGACATTACTTATATGAGTTTTGGCTTTCATTCTGGTCAGGAATTAGTTAGTAGCACTGTAGAAATGTAAGAAAAAAGTGATTGATTTTAAAAAGAATATTCATTATACTTTAAATAGCTTGGAGAAGCTGTACTCCCAGCAAGGTGAAGAATGATAGCCACAAGTAGAGTTACACCGGAGGGAAGGGAATCACATGGTAGACCCTCATTAACGTTAATGGATAGCTTCAGATACACACTAGTGGGAAAAAGAATCTGTTGTGAATTGAACTGTTTGCAGTCCTGATGGTAGTTAAATTAATATCTTCTTAAGAAGTCAAGTTATGCTCATGCATACCACAGGGGAACTGCCATCTGCTCTAAAATCACTCGTTAGAGTAGATTCTCTAGGGCTCCTTTTAGCCTACACATGCTGCATCAATCTGGAAAGTAATTTCTGTGAGGCCAATTCATTATCATATATCTTTCTACTTTTCTTGCAACTACTGCTTTCAAGCTCCCCAAACAGTTAAAAAAGTAAATCATGCCTGTGTGTATCTCCTTTCCTCCCTCCCTCCCTTCCTTTTTTGCTTCCTTCTTATAGTTAATATGCTAAGTTTAGCAAACTCTAAACTTGGAGCTAGTTCTTGTTGCACAGTTCACTTGGCCTTTTTTTTCTTTCTCATTCCTCTCTCAGGTGATGATACATTAAAGTTATGGGACATCCGACAGTTTAATAAGCCACTTTTTTCAGCCTCGGATCTTCCCACCATGTTCCCAATGTAAGTAGCACATTTTTAATATCTGAGAAGCATAAGAGAATGGAAAATAAATTTCTTTACCTTAATGTTAATTTATATCATGTCTTTTCGATGTTCTAGAAAAGGGACTTGAAGGGTGATTGAAATAGGTTTTTTGAAAGATGCATTTTATTTTTCCCTTTTTGTTTTGCACATTCTTCAGACCATAAAATTTTTTTTTGGAAGTTTCAATGACGTATGGTTGTGTGTGTGTGTGTGTATGTATTTATTTATTGGATGCATGCATAGGTTTTTGGGTAGTAAAGATATGTTAAGGGATTGAATTGTTCTTTTTATATTGCATAAATGACAGGGTAGGCCCACGTATTTGTTGTCTTTTAAAATTTGAATCCTTATACCATCAAAGTACTTTTTATAGTTAGCAGCATGATTATATATCATTTTCTTAATTTTTTTTGGTCATCATTCCAGTTAACAGTTCAGTAACCTTCACTTGTTCAGACTGCCTTGCTCTGGGTAGCTGAACACTGTTATCTCCATTCTACTAAGTTGACAAGAAAGTCATTTAAAGATTTTTCTGAGGCAGCTGAGGTGGGATCTCACCTCTAAGTCCTACAGTTGGTGCCTGAGCAAAATTTTTTATTTGAGTAGACATGAAATCTCACATCTATATTAAATAATGACCAACAAGGAGAAAGTGAAGGTAATGGACGCATCACATGGAGGAAGCTGAATGATAACAGATCACTGACTCTAACACGATCTGTTGACCATGGCATTTATCTCTTAAAACAAACGGATGGACAAACTAACATGAATTCATATCTGATGAGAATGTCTTGAGTTATTATCATGCCTGCTATGAGTCATGCTAACTACATAACTTCTTTGGATTATGTCTTAGGTTATTCAGAATCAGTATAACAATAACCATCTCATAACAATAACCATCAATTACGTAGGCCCCAGCGTTGTGACCTGCTCCTCTTTTCATGGTGCTTGACTTGACAGAACTCAAATTATTTAAGTGGTGTTGATGGTAGAAAATAGTTACAAAAGTGGTCAAAGGAGTCACTACTTGATCATTAGTCATACAGTGTCTACTGAGTTTTTCCCACCCCCTCTCTACGTTAAAACATAATGTGTAGAAGTTAAAAAAAAGCAAAGATTCTGGAATCAGACGGCCTAAGCTTGAATCTCTTACTTTTGTGATCTTAGACAATGTTTATTTAACCTCTCTGCCTCAGTTTACACATCAATAAAATGGGAATAATGATATCTGCCTAATAGGATTATTCTGAAGATTAAGCAAATTAACATAAGTGCTTGACTTATTCTAAGCCCTATAAAAGAGTTATCTCTTATTATAATGAGCTTGTTTATCTTTCATTTAACTCACTCATTATTGTTGCATTGTTGTGGGGTCATAAGCTTATAAACTCTTTTTGTCTGTAGGACTGACTGCTGTTTCAGTCCAGATGATAAGCTCATAGTTACCGGTACATCTGTTCAAAGGGGATGTGGCAGTGGCAAACTTGTTTTCTTTGAGCGCAAAACTTTCCAAAGGGTATATGAAATAGACATCACAGATGCGGTAAGTCTGTTCTTTTCACCCCAGCCTTGAGAATGAAGTGAAGTATGCCTCTTTTGTTTTTGTTTTTGGTTTTTAAATAGAACATAGGCCATAGCCCTTACAGTGCAATGCTAACTGCTTTTCCTCCAACACAGGAATTCTTAGTACTTTGTAGACTGGCTTATCTACCCTTTACCCTCCCCTGACCCAGGATTTCCAAGGGCCCATACATACTTCAGTCAGAATTTCAGCTGGGCCAGTGATGTTTCCCCCTTCTGCCAACCAGTTTGGGGAGAGCAGACCCTGGTTGTCATATAAATACAGAAATGAGCTTTCCACATGTGCATGTTTGTGAGGATCCAGGGATTGTGGATAGAAGTGAAAAGTTGTGCCCTCAGACAGTGAGGAAGTGTATCATTTCCTAAACCTTGAAAACTTAGACAGAATTCTGCTTGTCCGAGTTGTCATTAAGACTCAGCCTCCAATGAGCTTAATTTCTATTTAGTTATTTGGAAGTTTAAGACGTTTCAGATTTAACTTTATATCTTAAAAAAAAACCTTTAGCTTTCTTTACAGATTAATATGAGCACTAAAACACCAGCATTCATTCATTCATTCATTCATTCATTCATTCATTCATCCTGAGACTGGAGCCATAGGTAATATAATAATAGTGAAGATTCCCAGAGGAAAATTTGAATTCCTTTAAAGTCTTTTAAAGTATATATTATTATTTAGATGGTGAGGCAAACCATTGTTATTTTCTGAGTATGAAACAGGCCAGTTAATGTCTGTGTAAATTTTCTTTGGCTTATTGTCAAATTCTTCAGTAATATCCTTTATCTTACACTTTGCTCTTATGTAGGTTTCTCCAGTTGTTGCAGCTCTTTGTAAACAGTTGAGACATATTAAGCACTTAAGTGATTCAGACAATTGAACAACTGTTTTTAAATCACCAGTAAAAAAGTTCCTGTCTCTAATGTTCTCGTGTTACTGTGGAGTCTTAATTGTAGGCCCTAAATTTGAAACCATGGTATAGTTAGAGACGATATAGAAATAACAATGAGACTAATTCTAGATGAGTACTTAAGTTTTATAGATTCTAATCTCATGACATAATTTGAAATGTGCCAACACTAATAATACTTTTTTGGGGTGCCTCCAGAAGCCAACTAAAACACTAGAATCAAAGAAAAACACTCTTGACTCTATCAACTTTAATCTCAAAAAATAAAATTATTGTTAATTGGTTGTCCCTGACGTAAGCCGTGTTCTGTGATGCCTCTCAACGACTATGCATTTTAGTATTATTCTTGGTGTTGAGTTTTTAAAGTGTAATTTAAATTGAAACATAAGTAAATTAAGGGATGTGGAAGTCTGATTGCACTGTTGAAGACGTGCTGGGTTTCTGTGGTGTACAAAACATGTTTGCTGTGTTGCTCTGAGTTGCTTTTCTAACTAGATCTTTTTCTCCATAGCACTTACCCACCACCTCATCTATTACATATTTGTTTGTTTTTATTTGTCTTCTTCCACTAGGATGTAAGCCCTTGAGAGCAGAAACTTAGCCTGTTTTGTTTACTGCACTATCCTCAGTGCTTAGAACAGTGCCTGGCACATAGATGGCGCTTAATCAATATTTATGGAATGAGTGAATGGTATACAGTTGGCCCTCAGTATCTATCCGTTTTGCAACTACAGATTCAACCTACCTTGGATTGAAAATACTTTAAAAAATTCCAGAAAGTTGATCCCTAAACAATATAGGGTAACAATTTACATAGCATTTACATTGTTAGGTATTACAAGTAATGATTTAAAATATAGGGGAGGATTGTGTAGGTTATATGCAAATACTATGTCATTTTATAAAAGGGACTTGAGTATCTGCAGATTTTGGTGTGGGAGAGGTTCTGGAACCAATCCCCCTGCAGATACCGAGGGACGGCTGTACTTGGGAAGTGCCAGTGATGCATATTGTGGAGCACAGGTGTGTCTTTGGAGAGCGAGGCAGGAGAGAAGTCTCCAGAGATGGAAAGGCAAAGGAATCATAATAAGAAGGTGACTCTGTCTTGTGGATTTTCTCTTTTTTTTTTTCTTAAGCAAAGGAATAACATATTCAAATCTAGGTTTTAGAATAGTTAATTTTTACTAAGTGTGAAGGCTCGATTTACAAGATTTAGTGTTCATTTGTATGTGAAGGCTGAAGTTTTTAACTTGGGAGACTGGGTCAATGTCCTGTGAGGTTAACAAAAAGCAAGGAAAGAAAGCAGATTTTGGAAGAAAGGCAGTGAGTTCTGTGGTGGGTTATTCAACCTGAAGTACCTGCAGGGCCTCTGGGGAGCAGTGCTCTGTAGGTAGATGAATCGATGAGCGTGGTACTTAAGTATTGGGAGAAGCATTTATAGTTTATAGTTGAAATGTTGGTTGTTGGTTAATTAGATTAAGGAAAGGGCATAAAGGAGAGGGAGAGCCAGCTCTAGGAAACCCGAGCATTTAAGGAATGAACAAATGAAGAGAAGCAAACAAAGAAGGGTCATTAAGTAAATAGAATAGACGATATATTGCATTATTTTAGAAAAGCCAGAAAACAGATTTTGAGATCCATTTTAATAGATGAGAGAACTTAAAATGGGGACAAACCACACTTTCATTCATTCAAATTAGTTTCAGCTTACAAAACAACATAATGATTAGACATTTACACACTTCACAAAGTGATAACCCCAATGAGTCTAGTATCCATCTGACACCATATATAGCTATTACAATATTATTGACCATATTCCCTATGCTGTACTTTATATCCTGTGACTATATACTTTTAAAATTGTAGTTGACGTTCAATATTATAGTAGTTTCAGGTGTACAGCGCAGAGGTTAGGCATTTATATAATTTATGACGTGATCACCTGATAAGGCTAGTACCCATCTGACACCATACACCATAGTTTTTACAATATTGACTATATTCATCATACTATATTTCACGTCCCCATCACTATTTTGTGAGTACCAATTTGTACTTCCTAATCCCTTTATCTTTCTTACCCATCCCCCCCAACTTCCCTCCCATCTAGCAACCATCAGTTTGTTCTCTGTATCTGGGAGTTGATTTGTTTTGTTTGTTCCAAACCACACACTTTAAATCATTGGTTTAGGATTTGTTTGTCATTTTTTGTTGTTAACATCAGACAGCATTGTTTTCTGTTTTTATAGCTGAATGGCATGTTAAAGAGATATTAAATTGCCCCTTTGATCTGTTTTCTCAAGTTTTAAGTCTTCTTGGAATGTAAGAAAATAAATGCATTCTTTGGAATAGATAAAGAGGGTGTATACTTTGCTAGAAGGGCAAAAATACACCTCTTTTATTGTGGTTTTGTCATTAAAAACCAGGATAGTCCTTTCTTTTGGAAATATCACATCTGCTGTAGTTTGGTACTTAGTGTTGTTGGTTTTTTGTTTGTTTGTTGTTTTTTTTT